AATTTACTGAGTATCGGACAATTTTTATAAAATAGTTATGCAGTTCATTTTGAAGATGGAAGTTGCAAAATTTTCGATCAAGGAAATAATAGTTATTTCCTTGCTATAGTTGATATGGAGAGGTCTAGAAATTTTTCGCTCTAAATAAAATATGCTTAAAAAATGGCATTACGAATTGAAGTTGCTGATTGCTCAGATTTATAATATAAAAGGTATGGTCATATCAACTAGAATGCTCTAAAGCTGTTAAGAGTCAAAAATATAGTTCAAGGCTTACTACTTATCAACACAAAGTCGAGTACATGTGAAAGATGCATCTTCGACAAATAACATCGAGCATCTTTTTCATTTAGAGGATCTTAGCGAGCACGTGCACCCCTTGAACTGGTACACATCGACATATATGGGAAGATGCAAACACGTTCACAAGGCCAAAACTAGTACTTTTTAATTTTTATTGATGATTATTCAAGAATGACATATATTTTTTAAAAAAGAAAATTCAAAATCTTCTGAAGTGTTCAGAAAATTTAAAGTCATAGTACAAAATCAAAGTGATCATAAAATTAAAATTTTACAAAGTGATCGAGGTGGTGAGTTTACCTCGAAGAATACTGATAGTTTTTGTAAAGAATACAGTATTCGGAGACAGTTGACAGCAACATATACTGCTTAATAAAATAGTGTCGCTAAGAGAAGGAATCACACAATTATCGAGATAGCTAGATCGATGCTCAAGGAGAAAAATATGACTAACACTTTTTGGGCAGAAGCAGTAAATATAACAATTTATATTTTGAAGAGGAGTCTGACAAAATCTGTTCCAAATTGAACTCCAATTGAAGCATAGAGTGGTGTCAAGCTAGTGATTAGTCATATGAAGATTTTTGGTTGTGTATGTTATGCTCATGTGCCAATCCAAAATAGATCAAAATTTAATAACAAAAATGAAAATTATATTTTTACAGACTATACCGATGATACAAAAAGGTACAGGGTGTACAATTTAGAGAAAAAGAAGCTGATGATCAGCAGAGATGTCGTGTTCGATGAAAATACTTCTTGGAATTGGAAAAACAAGAAAGTTCAAGAAAAGCAGTTGTCTGCAACAATTATCTCATGGGGAGGATAAACTACTTAAGATAACACTTCAAGATAAAATGAGTCTTGTTCAAGCTCAACTTCGAGTCCAAGTTCAAGCCCGAATTCTAGTAGAAATACTAGAAAAGAATCGACTACTCCAGAGTCAACTCCAAAAAAAGTAAGAAGTCTAATAGAAATTTATGAATCCTATAATTTCTCACTAGTTGAGCCACAAAGTTTTGAAAAAGTTGAAAAACGACAAAAATAGGTAAAAGCCATGGAAGATGAAATCCACATGTTAGAAAAAAAATAATACTTAGAGAGCTAGTAAACCATCTAGAAGATCGTGCAGCGATTGGTGTTAAATGGAGTTATAAGATAAAATTGAATCCAAATAGTTCAGTTTAGAAGTATAAAACAAAACTTTTGACAAAATATTTTAAGCAAAAGTATAACATAAACTATTATGATATTTATGTTCCTACAGCAAGACTAGAGACAATTAGAGCTATTATTGCTCTAATAGCTCAAAAAGGTTGGCAATTGTGTAACTTAATGTCAAATCAACCTTTTTGAACGGTTATCTTGACAAAAAAATTTATGTCGAATAGCCAGAAAAATTTTTAATTAAAGGGAGAGAGAACAAAATATCATTATATTCGAGAAGCAGTCGAGCACCAAGAAATATAATTCAAATTTTACATAATGGATCTTCAGCTTGCTGATATCTTCACAAAAGCATTAATCAAAGAAAAATTCATACACAATCGAAATACGATTGGCGTATCAAAGAAAATAAATTAAAAAGGAAGATTGTTAGAATTAATTTATTTTACTAAATTGTCTGTTAGAGAAAAATTTAAAATGAATTGTTATGAAAAATTAAAACAAAATAACAAAAAATTAAATAAAAAAATTTAATAATAATTAAATAAAATAAATGAGCTGTTACCAATAGAAAAATTAATAGAAGATTTTTTGCTGCCTATATATAAGTTATGGGTTGTTGTATAATAATATCTCATTTTAAATATAATATATTTTATTTTTTCAATATATCTCTCTTATTTATCTTAAATTTTTTATATTGGTGCATTAAGTAAAATTTGTTTATCTTCAGTATATTTCCAAACAGATTTACCTATACACATTATCTATATATATACATAGCAGATACATAATATATAAGTGAATACATCAAAACTCAGTTCAACAGAGCAAAAAGCTGTGTTGGCAAACAACTGCGTCTTTCAGTTCTTAATCCTCAAAGCCATCAACAGAGACTCTGAGAATTTCTTTGCCCACAACTGCTTCCTCCTACTAAGCTGCCGATACAGAATAGAAGCAGGCCCATTAAACGTCATTTGCCAAGATTGTCAAGAAAGAGACCAATTCATCAAAATCTACCTATAATCAACCATCTCCAATTCCAAACTCATACCGACAGCCATTTCAAGACCTCAATTTCTTGACACTCAGACGGTCAGCTTGGAGAAGAATGTTTTGATAGGTTACCATGTTGTGAGATACTATAACTATGCTGGTGTGACGAATGGTTTCTTGTGGTGGGAATTGAATCCTATCAGCTTGTACGTGAAAATTTTGATTTCAGCCTATAACTCACAGCCTGGGTTTGTTTCTTTATATATGAATTATATATATATAACAAAAATCATATAAAAATAAAAAAAAAATCATGAAAATTTTAAATAAATAGCTATATATATAATAATTCAAATATAAACTGATTTAATCGTCTCTCACGTTTTATTAGCCAACATATCTAATTAAATAATGTACCTCATATATGTAGTGTAGCTGGATCTAGCACCTCATACATGTTTATGTATTTTACCTTTACAACATATATAAACAATTTATATGTATATACATGCACGTATAGCGGATACAGATATATATATATATAAGTTAATACAACGACATTAAATCCACACATATGTAATAAATGATTCCATTTCTCGTAAAATATTAACTTTATCACCTACAAAAATTGCCTGGACACTGTAGTTCTCTTGTATAAATACGAATACATGAATATAAACACTACACATACGGTAGATATCATTACATATTACTAATGTGAATTCTATACATTTAGGCACGTATATTTGCATATATACAGAGACAAACTAATGATGCCTTTTCTTGCAAAAGAATTAACCATACCAACAAATATTGGTACAATATCCATGCATGACTATGAGCATTATACATACAGTAGAGATATCATTACATATTACTCATATATATATATATTAGCTGGTTGTAAACATATAGTCGCATACATGAACATATATATATATATTACTCATATATATATATATTAGCTGGTTGTAAACATATAGTC